TTAGGGACACAGTTATGTCCTGCAGGGTAGTTAATCTGTTCATACCACACGTGCTATTGCCCGTTCGTGTATGTTCGGAGTAGGTACCACGCTGTGGTAATTCTGGTTTAGGTTCAACTGTACACTTTATGAAGCAATCTCTCGAACACTTTGCATAAAGTAAAGAAATAGAAGATGAGGATCCGTTAAGTCGGCAGTACTGTATTTCTGTTGTACTATAAAATACTCAGACATAACACCGTGGTATATATCCAGATTAACGTGGGACAGGATACTCGTATCTAAGTTCACATATCTGACAAAATTCAGTCATTTCGTTTGGACGTAAAGTTAAATATATAATAAATTCAAATAACTTGAAAGAATTTTGAAAAAATAACAACATTTTGTTCAAAGAATAATGATTTTGAATAAAATACAACATAAGTTCGGTACTTGTACTATTTACTGGATGGTCTGTATATTCGCTGATATATTGTCAAAACATTATATATAATCTGTCCTTTGTTTTATCTGTCAATTAACTTACATGCATTATTTTTCGTTCGTTTTCCTTCATATATATAATGTCTTTAGATATCTATAAACACTAATATGTATATGATATCATAATTTTTCAACAGCAAAACAATACGTTATTGTGATCAATAATGTATAACATACGATTCGAGCAACGATGCGTGTAATTTATTATTCCTATAACCTTTGACCTTTCCTTACCATCATTTCCCCATCACTACTAATTTCCATTCAATAGTTTTGTTGTTACCTTAAGCAGTTAATGTGGCGTTAATATTACCCCTCATAAACACATTCCTTAATAACCCTGATGTCAAAATAAGTTGTTTGACGATACTGTGATTGGTACAAACTCGTTACGTCATCATTTAACATAGTCATACAATGCTATAGTGACAAGCCAAGTGTCAAAACATTGAAATGATAATTTAGATAAGGTTAAAAACAATGTTTTCACGAATATATGTAGATATATGGATTAAGAAAATGATACCCATCATTTCTGTTAATACCTCGCCTCTCTGACGAGCTAAAATGTAAAACACTTTGGACTCCCACTTACAAAAAAAATATAATGAAATTGATAAGATAATGAACTCGTTTTATCGATTCCATATTTGGTGAAGTCCTATAAAGCACAAGATAATGGAGTGTACATTCAGTAAGGAATGATTACGAATCTTAACCACAAATACCTCAAATCACCAGGGACGTTGATTAACTCCGACTAAAGAAAACGTTAAATTGACAGTGTTGTTTTGGTTTTGATGTAGCAATAGGATTGTCACAGTGTTGTCTGCCTGAAATTACTGACACTCCTTCGCCATGTCTAATGGGTAAAAGTAGTGGCAGCTGTGAAATATTGATTTTTTACAAATAATCTTAGTAGGATTAGTGAAATGTTACGCTCACTAATCTTCGGAGTTATCAAAACTTTATATCTTAAAGAAACAATGCTTACCAATACCCTAACAGTCAAAAGTGACATGCGTGTATACAACGTGATACTAAAACATCTGTAGTTCTATATCAGACAAATTCTATGTCGGTAATCTGTTTTTCCATCTCGACCAGTTTTAACTCAAAACATATGATTTTTTTTAATTAGAAAATATAATGACAACAGTTCAGTAATACAACATGAACTTACTCAAAGCTTATTTTATCCAGTGTAGTGGAAAATTGTGATAATTTTACGCGTGTACATCACGAGGGGAATTATTAGCCCCCCCCCCTCCCTCCCCCATTCCCCAAATGAGATGAAGTATAACTGTTATTCTTCAAAGCAAAAATGGAATTTAGTGTAAATCGTAAGTGAAGCGCCCTTTTCGGCCAAAATTCATCCTGTTGGACAATTAAAACATGCTGAAATGCTATACCACTTGTGATGCAACATTCCACTCTATACATCTGTAGAATGATAAATCGATGCCTTGGGAGCTGAATAACACCCACATTCCATAGTAGAAAATGTAATAAGTCGTCCCGCAGGAAAAAATAGAGCAGATTAAAATAATTTCGATCGCATTGCAACCTGTCCTGATTATTTGTCGGCTGAAAAAAAATTACAAAAGACAATTCAAAACGTGGGTTGAAGAAAATGGGCCGCTCCTGTATATTGTCGCTTAAACACGGCGCCAGTGTATGTTCATATGAGGCAAACCCACATATGAGGCATGTTTCGATTTGGCTACGCGATTTTTGTGTGGTTGTCTATCATATATCTTAATAAAAATCGTTTATCACGATGAATATTTTATTTAATGGATTGTAGTTTAATCAATATGATTTGTATTCTTAAACCAAATGTACAGCGTAATTTCATCGAAATGTCACAATGTCTGTACTTCATTAATAATCTCGTATCTATCAGTATAGGTACAGCGTTACGAGTATTCTTGTAAACAATGATAAGAATATACTTAAGATGTTCGGAACGTGTACTAGCATCGATTATCACAGCTTATAATATAAGTACAATGTAAAATTACTGAGTGAAAAAATGAAGTGAGAACACCTGACATAAGTTACATACCGTCCTGGCTTGTTCCGTGAAATACAAAAATATAATCTCGTGCCTGTCTTCCATGATGATTACTTTCTAGCTGTCCATAGTTATGGTTATCAGTGGTGATAATGTAATCATTCTCTTATACATAGTATTTGTGATATGGAAGTTTATCAATCGTCAGTACCAACAGGTAATGTCATCGCAATGTTTGCATTTTACTATGACGTCAAGGCGAAAGCAAAGAGTTCAATTGACAGTGATCAACTCGCGTTTAGAGATTGTCATTGTAACTACTGTATGGAGATATAAATAGAAACTATACAAATGATATGCAAAGTTTTCAAGTAATCAGCTACATGCAAACAAAACAGGAAATGAGTAGGAGATGTGGCATGTTTTATAAGGCAGTGTGTGTTTGTGGCATGCTTTATATTTATAGAGCGGTGTATGTGTTAACGAAAAGTATATGAAACATACGTAAGCAATAAGCAGCTCTATGTGCTCTCACACACACCTGTTAATTATCTATTTACGTACAGCCACCTCCTGTGGTATAATTGAACTATTATTAACGAGAGAGAAAAAATAGTCTCATAATCGATGTAAATCCGAACCTGACCAACAAAACCGCGTCTGTATTTTTTGTACGGAGAGGATATTGAATGAACTAGAAAAGAGACAAAACACATACAGTGATGAAGTAGATCTTATACAAGGAAAAGGTCATGATCAATTTTAAGCATATGTTTAAGAAAAGAAGGAATGGTAGAGGAGATATATATGTGTGAGGAAGATCCAGAAATTGAATCCTATATATAAAATATATATTTCTCTGAAGAATGGAATATAAGAATCGAGAAAGGATTAATTATACAGTCAAAAACAAGTTTCTTTTAAATATTGTTGACATCCGTTTGATTTAACGTATTCTCGAGACTTACATACGTTATCTGCTTATAGTCGAAAATTAATTCATTTTCGAACATATTTTTACCGGGAATATAATATACATAGAGAAGAGATTTTGGAGAATATCTTACTCGGCCAATACCTAGGAGTAACTCGGTGATATTCAACACAACGCAAACTACAAACAACATGGCTCTAACGCAATCTAATTAAACCAAATGTCTAAACAGAAAAAATCACCTTGAAACAAAAACCTACCAATCTCACTACGGCGCTTAAGCTGTGTTTCCATGGAAATTAGTCTTGATTTTACCTGCTTTGGTGTTAAGATCTAGACTATTAACTAGTTAAAGAATCGTATAATGGACGACATCATGCAGCTGGGAATTTATCAACTGTCACCATGGAAACGCCTTTCTCAAACACGGTATGTACCATCTTTTGCTATATAGGTACATTAGGTATGGAATCGTACAGTTAAAGGAAGTTTGATTTTTTCCACCATCATCTAGAACACGTGGTGGTAAATAACATACCATAACTATATCTATATATATAGTACAAATGTATATCAGAAAACCTTGAATATAGGCCGTGTTAGCAAGCAAAACAACGGAGGAAATGTTCGATGATAAAATCGCTGTAGAATATATATGTTCCATTATTTTAAACAAAGTACATAACTTCACAAAAATATGTTTTTGACTTTTTATGTTCCCTTATTTTAAACAAAGTAATATGTTTTGGACTTTGAAGCCTTTAAATTGAAAAATACATATAATTATCCCCCCCACTTTCCTTTCCCTGACCCCTTGAATCCCACCTTTAATCCCTTTCCCTGCCTTTTTAAAAAAAAAAAAAAAAAAACCGAAGTGCATACAAAGAGTGTGACATACATTCGGTAACTTGATAGAAGTTTCAGTCAACTAACATTTTGTATTTTGAAAACTGAGTATATTTTAACGTAGTGAATAGTGGTGAAAATTAAGTTGTGCCATTAGGATCTAGTTGCTTTGAAAATACAAGACAGTAAAGATGCGCCTAATGACGCACGACACATCACATAAGCTCAGCTCAACGACCGTTTTATGACTTTGTATAGTATTAACATATAATCATTTCGGTCTTAGCATGTTTAACGTTGTAAGAGACACAAATCCACGCTCACGACTTCTGTTCTGAGCTGTTCCTGTCGTCTTCGTCATACGATTTTTTTTCGTATTTTCTTGACCGTTTTAATCTATGTAATTGTAATGCAGGTTATCACGTTTAGGAACTCTCTTGAAATGAAGGCGAATTTAGGCTGCAAAAGTCAATAATAACCCAGAATCAGTGGAATTTGCTAATCAGGCCTAATGAGAAATTATTGGAAACAACAAACAATCAGATTAAAACAAAAAACAACAAAACAAAAAAACAAAAAAACAGGACAACAAATATTTGTAAGCACTCAATTATTATTGCTTCTCGCTGATATCAGCACTTGCGGTTTTTTTCTTTTTTCTTTTTCTTTTTTTTTTTTTTTTTTGAAAATGTTAAAAATCCGACGTGTTTAACCCGAATGCATTCATCAAACATGCCACAATACGACAGGCCACCACTGCTTGATAGCTTTGTGATTACACGCATGTGTGACCTCAATCTCTATGTCAGTGAAGGACGGGTAAGGACGATAACACTCCACATCTCTAATACAATAGAGGACATACACAATCAACGTAAGCGTGGTAATCTGACTACGAACAATACTGGCTTTCTACGTATTCCTATCAATTGAAATAGTTTCGAATTCTTTGTTACGTAACTATATCTAATAAAGGAAAAGTTGTTACTATGAAACATTGGCTGATGAAATTATCCCTGGAAAACGTCTTTCAATATACGGTTCTAACCTAATTCTGGATATCCGCCGACAACACGTGGTCCCTATAACCATATTAAAAACACGCACTCTACATTTCGAAAGTTCTGACCTGTTATGGAACGGTGTCAGGAGCATAAAACAATACAGGGAATTGACACCGACAAATTTCTCCATATCAGAAGTACAAGGCGTTCTGAGATCAGTCATCACGGACGTCGTTATGTCATTGTGTTTTAATTCATTTTATCCATTAATGTAACTATCTGTAGCTTAGCTTTTCAGAGTGTGATTTTAACCGGATTCTATGAAATAATATGTGATAGAGAAATGTAAGATGGCTGACTTTCAACACATATCTAATGTAACATGTATAAATGTTCATCAATGCTAAAGTATGTTGTGAAGCGTTATTCAAAGCGATAGGTTTCATAATCATCAAAGATCATCCCACTGGCAGGCGTTAGAGTGGAAGAATTTATCCCACTGGAAGACGTTAGAGTAGAAGAATTTATCCCCCTGGCAGGTGTTAGAGTAGAAGAATTTATCCCACTGGCAGACGTTAGAGTAGAAGAATTTATCCCACTGGCAGGTGTTAGAGTAGAAGAATTTATCCCCCTGGCAGGTGTTAGAGTAGAAGAATTTATCCCACTGGCAGACGTTAGAGTAGGAGAATTTATCCCACTGGCAGACGTTAGAGTAGAAGAATTTATCCCACTGGCAGGTGTTAGAGTAGAAGAATTTATCCCCCTGGCAGGTGTTAGAGTAGAAGAATTTATCCCACTGGCAGACGTTAGAGTAGAAGAATTTATCCCACTGGCAGGTGTTAGAGTAGAAGAATTTATCCCACTGGCAGGTGTTAGAGTAGAAGAATTTATCCCACTGGCAGGTGTTAGAGTAGAAGAATTTATCCCACTGGCAGACGTTAGAGTAGAAGAATTTATCCCACTGGCAGACGTTAGAGTAGAAGAATTTATCCCACTGGCAGACGTTAGAGTAGAAGAATTTATCCCACTGGCAGGTGTTAGAGTAGAAGAATTTATCCCACTGGCAGACGTTAGAGTAGAAGAATTTATCCCACTGGCAGGTGTTAGAGTAGAAGAATTTATCCCACTGGCAGACGTTAGAGTAGAAGAATTTATCCCACTGGCAGGTGTTAGAGTAGAAGAATTTATCCCCCTGGCAGGTGTTAGAGTAGAAGAATTTATCCCACTGGCAGACGTTAGAGTAGAAGAATTTATCCCACTGGCAGGTGTTAGAGTAGAAGAATTTATCCCACTGGCAGACGTTAGAGTAGAAGAATTTATCCCACTGGCAGGTGTTAGAGTAGAAGAATTTATCCCACTGGCAGACGTTAGAGTAGAAGAATTTATCCCACTGGCAGGTGTTGGAGTAGAAGAATTTATAACATCGTAAAATGAAACGGTTTCATTTACAGACTCACAAAAACAATAAACAAAAATCATGTCAACAGGATTATAATCTACACGTAAGTTCAATAAATAGAGGATCTTACATGAGTGTCAATGTATTATGGAATTTATTAAACGAGTTCAATAATTTGGCGGTTCGTGGCATATCAATTTATTGAACGAGTTTAATAAATTTCATAATACATTGACACGAGTGTAAGATTCTTTCTATCACATAACCAATTAAAATGGAAAAATCGCCAGAAAACTACGATTTACTTCCACTATGCAATCAGCTATATAGGTCAAAACCAACGCACAGTAATCATAGTTTTATCCATCCGTGTTGCAAATAGTACCCTTTTTCAATGATTGAATAAGAGATTGTTATGTTCCAAAATAATATCGAGAAAGTAAAGCATTTAAATTCTGTTAAATGCCGAAATAACTTTTAAAAATCACACAAAAAAATCTTCTGGAAATTCACTTGATATTGGTAACATGACGTCACTCGCCTCGTCATCACGGGTCATCAGGTTCGGCCTAACTGCTCCAGTTACTGCGAGTCACTGTCACTTTCAATGATAGCTTTTCATTTATTTCTGGTAACTCAAAAAAATTATACAAAAGTTTCATGTCATACAAAGTTTTGCTCAACTTATTCTTGTTTGATTGATCCTGTATAAACTTCCTACCTCATCTTCTCTGATTGAAACGAAACGACTTGGTTCAGGGGCAACAGGACCGCCATCCGGAGCGGTCGTCTGCTGTTGGGAGGGATCTACCACCTTTTCAATACGATCGCGCTCAAGCTCAATTTGAAGGGTCAATCCTACACAATTCAACATTATAAAATGCAACAAACCCGCGTGGGATGATCTCCTTCACCACACCAGTCCCCTGCTTATCAATAAAAACTGTGTCGCCAATGTTGATCTGGTCAGCCATATTTTACTACAGTTTGTTGTCGTAGTAATAAAAGTAGTACGCGCGCGGGCGTATGAATACGTTCGCACGGTTTTGACCAATCAGCAGACCCCAAACCTTTATTACACATGTGTATTACCATTATTATGACATGGGCGTATGGCATGGGAAAACGGGTCGGTTATGTGATAAAACTAATTAAAAAATTAACAAAACAAAATAAGATTTACACGGAGACTCCTATATATGTTGAAAAATATCAGGCGTTACGGAAGTCCATGGCATGCTAGTGAGTATGAAATTTGATGCGAAATCACTGGTGATTACTAATGTGCTGTGGAAATACTGATAATACATTTTTCTTATTGTTTAATTTTCACAGTATTGTGACTAAGTTATGTTTGAGAGAATACCTACGCGGTCTCATTAATCTCTTTGAATGTTTTATATCCCTTGAGAGATATGAAGCTGGAAACCCGTTAGTTTGCCTGGCAGTTAACTATATGTACTTCTTGTTTAAGTTGACCAAGACTTACACGACATGCATGAGAATAGCCTTCCGGCACACCTGTTAGTATCCTCTTTATACATATTTTCCCTGGTTTAATAGAAAAAAAAAAACAAACAAACATCAACCTGTGAACAAAATTTTGATTCAAACTAAAGTTCTCACGTTTCCACTAGCCATCTGGAGTGCGATTCCTGGATCGGACGTGAAAAGGTATGTGATCACCTGTCCGAGCAGGTAGATTTTTGGTGGTACCCCTATCACAATAAGACACCTCTCACGATTACTTCCGGGTCAGTAAGACTGATTAGTATAAGTTGAAATAACGAGTTTCGCATTTGATATCCAATAAATGAAGTTTATATTTTATATTTCAAACTGAATGGGTTTGAAAACAGTAAACAATTTCTTGCAAAAAATTGTTATTCTCTTCAAGAAGAAAAATTATATTTAGAAGTCTCTCAGTATGAAACAGTATAAGAATTTGGCATCTAGATTCTAAGCTGGAAATTTTACACCACATTCTGGGTGAATTGTACACATCCTTATACAACTGCAGCACGAGGAATAACTTCACAGTCTCAGGGAAATGTTTGTCCATTATATAACAGAAAAAATAGTTTTGATCGCTGAAGAATATTCAGTCAACATCTACCGGGACACCATCAATACAATACAGGGCTATTTATCATCATGTTTTCGGATTTAATAAGTAAAACGTGCAAAGTCAATCTGTCACCAATGAAAATCACGAAATCCTAGAAATTTTGCCAGCCCAAAAACTTTTTGAATAACTGCATTGTATTTACCAGAGTTCAAGAAAATTTACGGAACTTCGTGTACAGAATAGGAACATTCCCATTGATATGTCTTTAAAAAGCATGAAGAAAGAAAAAATGAAGGAATTTCATTTAGTAACTTCACAATATTCAATGTGCTCACAGATGTTACAGTATGTAATGTTGACATTTGAATTCTGTTCCAATAAGTAAGTATTTTTTTCTCTTCCAATACGCTTCTTGACGTTTCCTTCATACGTGATCGGTTTCTAGACATGAGCGTTATTTTCTGATACAGCGACCATATTGCGGGGATGATGTTGCTCTATCAGTATCTTCATTCTCCTTGTCTAAACTTGTACTTTAATAAAGAGTGGACAACTGTAAAAAAAACCACAGACGTTTTCACGTCACTTCTTCGGTAAAAAATAAAATAAAATATAGAGTTGTAGTATTTCCATTAGTTATTATTTAACAGATAACAGAAGGTCCTATACAGATGGATATGTATATTAAGCATGGCTGTATTGTATGATACGGGAGCTGATATCTAGTGATCTTGTTTAAAAGTTATCTTAAATCTGTGCCGTCGCTGCCTTTTGCAACTGTGCTTGGAGTGATGCAGCAAGATTTACTATAACTGCAACATGCAAACAGCATTGATTGGGGGAAAACGATGTCACTTTCAAGAAAAGGAAAGATAAATCTTCGTATGTACATGATATCTGATGGATCAGCGCTTCCATACCAACAGGTTTTATAAACAATAGACAAACCAAAATGTCGTTTTGGCATCCTCACATTCTTAAATCATTTCTTTTTTTAAGATACATGTCTATATGAGTCCAACTTAAACAAATGGAATTGGATTCAGAGACATTTTTCATTTCAAGTTTTCATTTATCATTTGTATTACTTGTTATGATCGATATTGGTGCATGCGTACCATATAGATCCTGTGAAAGTACAGCACTATTACCGTGCGCGCTGAAGAAAGCTGTATCAGTTACAGATGTAAATATATTTTTTCATTACGCGATTAAGGAGATACTGTTTTATACCTTGTAACAGAGAATGCGAGTCTAGTGTTCAATTTGTATGCGTTTAATATTATTACTTAAACTGGTACAGTCTTTAAATGTATTGGATTCCAAACGTAGATTCTTTACGAGATAACTCAAGGATCTTTTCCATTTCATTAAAAGTCAGTAATAATTCGTGGGGATTAAATTTTGTGCCAAACCACCTTGTCGAATTCGGTATGAGCAACCTAAAGCATTTTGATTGGTCGGGAGTAAGTGTTTATAAATGGTTAATGAGTTAGTTGTGTCAAGGTAGAAAACTATCATTCATAAACAAATTAAGATAAACATTCTGTTACATGTACATAAATAAAGTACCATACACCCTTAAATAGGTTACCTTGTAAACGGTATGGTTGTGATTTTAAATACATTCTGTTTCTTTGAAGTAGTCTGAATTCCGTGTTCTACATATCACTTAATTTCCTATTATGGATAATAAATGTATATCAATTGAAAAAGACACACCTAAACTGTACAATTTCAGGTTAAGTTTTAAAAATATAATTCGATTGTTACGTCATTGCTTTATGACAGATTCGTCGATTTTGACAACAAAATAGTCATTATACCTATCTATAGACGCCAACACGAGAAATATTTCACTTCAATTGGCGCTAACGATTTTATTTCATTTTTTTAAAACCAGTGAATTCTGTATTGATATTTGTCGTGCGTGTAAATCTTTGTGTAACCGAATTACTGGCTTGCCGGGCAAATATTATTCTATAATTTGTGCTTGTTTCTCAAAGACTCAAGGGGATGGGCGGTGCAGTCAGTCTGCGAGAATCAGACCGTGTTCCTGTGCATCGTCATACTGCAAATAAATACTTACAGTGATTATAATTGAATGGTTTGTCATAACACGCATAGTCTTATCCGAGTTTTTTCCCAATCTTATGTCCATAAATTTAGAGCACGTGTTTTCATGAACGTGCACAATGGATCTACATTTTCCCTTCCATTACAACATGTGGAGTATTGACGCATGCGCTCTTGTTGTTTTACATTTATACTCAATGCACTTGTATCAATGTAACTAGTGTAGGCGTTCAATGATTCTATCCTGCATATTCGCAAATTGAGAGGTACCGTTTATGAACTTTTTGAATAAGAATTCTTAACTTTAGGAAACGATCTAATGAAAATTACGTCACTGTCAACGTCACGTGAAATTGCTTTATCAAAAGAATTAGTTTGGATTTTTTGTTGTTTTTAACCAATGTCGAGTGGGAATTGTAAAAGAGTAGTTGTTTGTCAATATCAACAAATGAATAGAAAAAAAAACTGACAAATGATCTCATCTGGTGACTTCCATTGTTTTATATCTAATTATGTACTTTGTAACTATCATTCCGAGTTCCAACTTCGGTGTTAATTTTATCTTTCTCTTGAACATGCCTTTCTAGGTAGGTCTACTGCAGCTCAAAATATCTTTTAAATGTAATTTTGTTCCTGTTAGGGGCGAAATATACGTGTCACGTGAGATCTTCTTGAGCGCGACGGAACGAGTAATAATGCCGACATGTTATGGCACTCGAAGTAAAGCTAACTCTAACCTTTAAATAGAAAACTAAATTTAAACGTGTGAGTTTTAAGTTGGCTTTATTAGGCTTTGAAGATAATTGTCGTGACTTTAGTGTGGTGTTTCGTCCTGAGGTGTCACTGCGGGCTGATTCGGTACTATATATAGGGACAGCTCTCGTTA